AGGGTTGGAGAAGTAGAAATATGACATATGACACAATTCTCTGGCAAGATGCTGTTTCAACAAAAACAGATTGGACATAGGATGAGTGCCAACAGAAGAGAAAGTGAGTGATATCCTTTTGAAGCCATGTGACGCAGGGAGTGCTCAACTGAGGGTGTCAGTTGTGCACAAACTAGAGGCGGCTTCTGGTGAGAAAATTAGACGACAATCAACTAGAAAGAAAACTATTTCACTTCGAGAGGTCCCCACCATGACACTTCAATCCACTAGAACACGAAAGTAACGCGCGTAACCAGGCCGCACTTGCTTTTTCTGTAGCATGATGTTGGTATCGTGAAACATCCCGGCTGGATCTCATTGCCAAAACTCACATATGCTACTTGCCTAGGCCAACACGCGCACGCGCTTGCTGTGTGGTGTGCATACTAGTTGTGTGACATTTCCTGTGTCTCCCAAGCCTGTTTAGAAGCAGCTGCTTGCGCAAAGAATCACAATTGCCAGATGTGATAAACATTCTGCAAGCAGATCCACTTCGAGCGATCACCCCAAAAAGACAGTCACAGAGAACACAGTAATCCACAAAGAGCTGGCGTTTGAGGTCCGGGGGGGCCGCTGCCGGAACTCGCGGTTGAGGTGCGGCGGGGAACACAGCCAACCGAAGCTCGCGGTTGAGGTGTGGCGGGGAACACTGCCAAGCGGAACTCGCGGTTGACGTCTGGCAGGGAACACTGCCAGCCGGAGCGTGCAGTTGAGGTCCGGCGGGGAACAATGCCAAGCGGAACTAGGACGAGAAGGACGAGGAGGAGCAGGAGGAGGAGGGCACGAGCTGACGTAAAATCTAACAACCCTCACCCGACAGGTGGGACCACGACTTTAGCTATGTTCTAAATACATCTAAGTCACCCAACCTTCTTTAAAGTGACTCTGTGACCCCCCCAAAAGATGCACAACGCTGTTCTTATAAAGTAAGACCCGACTGTACAGACCCTCAAATATATAGATAGAACAGTGAGTCCTCACTACACATGTATTGGAAGCCGCTTCTATCTATTTGGGGGACCACTGTAGTGGAGACTACTCACCATTAGGAATATGGCCTGCTTGGGCTTCCCTCACGCCATCAGCCCACTTTTTAGGCATCCTCGAGCGTAGAGACCGTGCGGGAGCCAAGTTGGCCAGACAAATCAGGGGACTATGTTGAACATTGTTGAACATTGTTGAACCATTTCATATACAATAATATACCGTTTTTGTTTTTCTGAATCTTCTGGGGGCACCATATCGTTTACACAAAAGGAGAGAAAAAATTGAAATGTACTGGTAATGTTCGCTTGGATCAGAAGCTTGGCTGGTAATTCGAGGGGTGGTAGGAGGGGTTAGAAAGGCATCCAATGAATACATCCACCCATCCCGCATAGTTCAATCATGTGCGTCTCCAGAGTGCGGTCTTGATCCTGGGAGAACTTTGGCAGGGTGGGCCACGGGTTGTGGTCGACAGATTCAATTTAAATACTTATGGGTTGCAGGGTTGTTGAGAAGTGGTGCAGCCGAGGAAGAGTCCAGGTGGAAAGAACTGAACATCCAGAGTTTGCTTGATTTTTTCCCCGGCCATTGTGAGTCTGTGAGGGATGAATCACAGGTATGAACTGTATGAACCAACATAAAACAAAAATTGAAGTTGCCTCAGCAGCAGATGTTGCTTGCAACCGAGAAGTCCACCCCAGGTTTAGTCTTATTCATTAAGATGCCACCATAAGAGCCAACAAGGTCATGCAATCATGACGATAGAAGTTGTTGTACTAGACGATAAAGGTTGTTGTACTAGAACAATCACTAAAACGTATTGAAAAACAAAACAAATCAACTCCGCTCATGTGGACGCCATTGGGACTTCAGCCCGTACACAGATCGAGAGCCTTGGCCCTAACTAGTTAGCTACATAATTACTCCACTAATATCCCTAGAAGTCTCCAATATCCGATATATGATGATATGTGTAATCTAATCTACTCTGATCCCTTTCAGTAGACTAAGTCTCCTCCACTCGAGAATGGGGTCGTCCACGGAGTCACCCGGCCCAGATCCGAACGTTGGATTGAAGAGATTCTCGGCCGGGAGGGCCCAGAAGCTGGAGACTCGAAAAAAAGGCCTCACCAGGCCGCACCCAGACGATTGATGTGGCACATGAATTCTTGAACATACTCATGAAATCTCATGAATCCATCGTTCCTTTTCTTTTTCTTTGTTCCTAGCGGTCCTAGCGATGGGCTCCAACCTACTAGCAAAGAAGCATTATTGAAGATTCTTGAACACGGGGATTTATTATATATATATATATGTGAGCAAAGGTTTCCCGAGAAAAAAGACGGATTCTGAGAAGGAGGCTGTCGGCAAGAGAGCAGGGCCTCCAAACACATCTCATGTGTTTCTGTGTGGCATGATGTTCAAAACAGGCAGTTTTCAGATTCCATGTTGGTGAAACTGAGAGCAGCTTGAATTTGTCCAGGGAAACTAAACAATTTTGGCTCCCGTGAATTGTCCAAAGACTAGTCAGGCTAAGAGCTGCATCAGTGCTGCTTCTAGCACCTCTATTGGTACCATTCAGATTCAGCAACCAAGAGGGGATGCCCCGTGAGGGGCTGGGTGTTCCCAGTGTTGTGTGTCTTCTTTCTTTTTCAGGTCTTCCAGGGCTCAAGAGGGTGATGACACGAAAGACTTGATGTTTTGGCCAGTGTTTTTAATCCAGCTTTCTTTCTCATCACCCTTAATGGGACCTACACTTGTAAAAACATTGGACGACGGGCATGACAACACTGGTCTGACACAAAGTCGTGTTTCAGACAAAGTTTGTTTCAGTGCTGCGTTTACAGCGTGTGTGACATGGGAATGGGCGGCGAGACTTCCGCTAGGTCAAACATATCTTAAGTGCAATATGCCTGGCAGTGCATTCATTTGTTGTTGTGTTGGGTATTGCGTCTACTGTGGGATTCACTACCCAGGCGTGACTTAGGTGTGACTTTTTAATACAACGTTCAATGGGGAGAAAGGTGGCGGGAAGGTGGCTTTCAATGGTGACATTCTGCTGCTGGTGGGCGTGAACATTGTGAACCGTCTTTGTTAGCTTCTCTATCGCCTATGGCCTGCTTTTCGATCAGGCACAACCTCAACTCAGCATACCTCGACTCAGCTCCAGTTCCGCTTGTTTATCTTGTTTGATAAAGCTCCAAACGACCGAGGCCGTCAACTCACTGGCACAGGGCATGTAGTCACCCCGCGTCACCAGGCGCTCTTTTTGGAAAATTTGGAGAAGGCCCCAACCCTAGACCACATGGATCCACATGGTCCAAATCCTCTTTAGCGCCATTTCAACCCTATGGAAGAACACACTCCTGTCTTCTTCGATCTCCGGCGGATGCGACCAGGCGGCCAGGTCGGTCTGGCCTCGCCTCACGCTGAAAGGTCGGCGGCCAGGTCGGTGTGGAAATGGGACCAAACCGCGACACTCAAACCATGACAGCAATCAAAATATGTCTGAACAGAAACACGTAGACTTTTTACATCATATTTTTTGGTGTGGTCACGAAAAATGTGTGAAATTTCCACACCCGAGGCTTCATCAGCTTTCGTTTACCCTTAGAGTTGGACAGCACAAGTGCCCTATTGCGAGTTTGTTACATGTTTACCAAGAATGAACTACATGTCCATTGTGTTTGCGGACCTCGACATCGTGTTTTGTTCCTCCCATCCTTGCAGTCCGACATGACTCGACTCATTTGTGAGAAAAGGCGACGAATGGAATGGGTGTCATGGATTCGGAACCGACTCCAGACATGTTCCCACTACATCTTCGCAACGGGTGTGCAGACATCTCCAGACGACGAGGAAAGTTCAGTTGTTGAGACGATGGCGTCATGCATTGACCGGCATTGGTTTGGTTTGGTGGTCTAACAATAGAATTGAAACAGGGCAGGCCGGGCGGGCTTCGGAGCCCAAACTGCTTTTCGCAAATCCCCTGGGCTATCCAAGTGCTCTTTGGTTACATGTCAGTAGCACCCAAGTTGACCATTTGGCTAATGCGGATGTGTATGTCTCACAACTGAATAGGATTCGTCCAATCTACGATAGGATGATCCGACTGTGGAAGCATTCGTTCATATCTAAGCATTAGTAGGATCCCCAGCATACATACACACCTTGGATTTTGAGGTATGTGTTTGCATGTTTCTGCAGGAAACATTGGAAACATACAAAAAACTTCCGTCGATAGCTAACCTTTTGGAGTAAACCCCCACAAGTGCACAACCCGGGGTACAGCAAGTTCCGTGTGGTTGCCGACGATATAAAGGAACAAAAACTTCCAACGGAAAGGCGGGTCAAACATTGCTACTGTGCCATTGTGTGTCGTCATGTACCACAGAGGGTGCGCACAGTTCTTATTCCAAACACAGTGCATCCAACAACTTGCGAAGCGTGCACCCATGGAGTTTGGGAATTTTCCGTGTGACTCTTGACAAATATGTTGACTTTACTCTGATGGGGTGTGCTCATGGGGGTTGTCTACTTTAAACGGACGTGACACGTGTAACATACTGTAACACTCCCGCCTGGTAGGATCAAGGGTGGAACTCAAGATCTTCCAGACTTGGATCTGGCTAGCAGCTAGCACCGTGTGTAGTGGGCGATATGAGTTTTGACTTCACTAGCCAAGGAGTTTCCCTGTACCGAACTAGCAGGCTTGGCAGAGCTGCCGTGAGCATAGCAGACCTTGTGACAACACTGTATCCGACTATGGATCCATTTGGCAACTTGGAATCGGGAAACAGCTGTTGATGGAAAACATCCTGCACCAACACTGTGAATAGTCATAGTTAGTGTCGTGGTTTCCTTTACGGTGTTTGCCAACACTTCTTGTTCACGAATCTCGTCTCGAACCCCTAGGGCCAGACTGGCCGAAGCTCCTGCTGAGCGAAGCTGCTGAGCTCAATGTTCCTCCTTTCCGCAGCTCCCCGGGTCCAAGCACCGTCCAAACGGGACAACGGAGCGGGATCGACCATGGGGGATAATTTGGCCTTCACACTCGTTGGAGGGCCGGGAGACCCGGAGACCGGGTGACGGGGTGACGGCGACCGGTGAGGCGAGGTGAGACCGCCTCGATGGTGCGTGCTTGACCTATTGGGTAAGGCAGCTAAGCAGGTTGAACACCAGAAGCACGTCGTGAAGGTCGTGGTTAGCTTGTGTCGTTCCCCACGCTTCTAAGGAGTGCACCCTAATGTGGGTCTTGAAGGTGAGGTTACGTAATTGCTGGATTAGTGCTGGATCGTTTGCCCAAGTCGTATGCTGCCCAGCTTCACGTAGTCTACTGCATATTTTAGTGTGGCATTGTCCAGAGTCGTTCTTCTTCGTATGACAGTTATGTGGTCGCGTAGACTGGAGGAAAGTCTTGAAGAGGCAAATGGAAGTTCTAGGATGGCAGAGTTTAGGACATTTTAGGACTATGACGAAAGGAATGGACTTGATTGAATGATAATCACACCATCCCCTGCACTGACTGACATATGTTTGTTAGTTACCGCCCCACATCAGAAATACTCGTCGATCATTATCGATCTAAATTCTGCTACTCACTGACTCTCCAATTGAGCATCTTGGGACATCCTATGTGAATCATATTCATATAATTTCATATATATATATATATTATATATATAGGACCTATGCCATATGCATGCCATATGCTAATGATTCCGGATTCACCAGGAATCAGGTGATTCTTCAATGAAAAGGTTGATGTGGGACCCTCGTAGGTGCCGTTCAAAAGAACAAGAAAGCTGCTTGGTCGATCGTCCAAGCCGAAGAGAGAGCTGCGGACACAGGGTTGACCGGTCGTGCAGGGGATGTGCAGCCATTTGCTTGGGTTTGCTGATCTTCATCATCGTCATGCTCGCCTCCATCACGGCGCGCGGTGGGCTGTTTTGGGTTGCTATGTTTGGTTCTAAACACCGAAGAACCGTCGCGCCGCGTCATATGTGTTTTTGTCACCGGGTGTTTTTAAATGAACCAAAAGCACGTGTTTTGACACGTGTGATCTGATCTTGGAGATGAGCTCCTCAAGGAGGATTCTTCCAGTCCAGTTCGGGAACCGAAGCTGAGGACGGACTGGAAGAGACAAGTCCTTTCTGGTGCACTTGGGGTCAGGTGATTTATCTATTCTTTTTGCTAGGTGTCCCTATCCCCTTTCTGGGGAAGGTGTTGATATTTTTTGTCCAGCTTCCTTAAGCAAGTCCAAGTACACTTGTGCAGATCCCCTTGGCTTCATCTATGGATCCCCCTGCGATCGCTCGGGATCAGCTGGATCACCTGCGATCCCTGGTGATCCGGCTGGATCACCAACGCATTCAGGAAGGAGTAGGAAAGGAAGTCGTGCGTTTTCACCAGCGAAATAGATTGAAAGCCATGTGAAAGTTCTTTCTTTGTTCAACTCTTCCGCCCACGTACGTAGAAGCAGAGCATCAAACAAGGTTCCTTCTTAGTTCCTGGCTTCCAAGTGTAAAAAAAAATGTGCAGAAGTGTACATTAAACAAAGTTCCCGGTTGATGTGATTTGTCGTGAACGCACGATGCGGGGAGGAAACGAAGATCCCAAGCGATGCGGCGGACGAACCGACGAGCCTCGTTGCAGTCGACTGATCCACGGATTCGCGATGGTTCCAAGTGAACCATAGTGAGCCCCCCCCCCACCCCAACCTGCATTAAAACTATCAAAAGAGATTCAAAGGGAAGGTGTCTATCAATTCGAGGACTTCTGCTATGAACAAACCATGCTTTTTGAGTATGTCTTTTCCAGGATATATGTTTTTGGTTTAAAATGTTAGTCATTACTATGTATATATATATAAATATAGTTATATATATATAAATCCTTTACTGGCATATTTACATACATGGAGTGCTTGAAAAGGGGTTCATGTATGTAAGTATGCCAGTCCCATGGAGTGTTTGGGTGCTTGAAACTCAATGAACCCTCACTGCGCCGTGCCAGGTGGTGAATGAGAAGCAACAGCCTTTTGGCGCGGATCGATGGGGAAATACGGAGGGGGGGGCCCTTACAGAGATGCCGGGGCCCACAAGGCCAGGAAACTAAGGACTTGCGCTGGCCTGGTATGGCGAGGCTATGCAAGGCCGTGCAAGATTTTTTGGCCCAAACAGATGCCTTGCTTACACTTCCCCAGCTTATGCCTCTCAGGCTCATAGTTTGAAACACAGAGCCAGGAAGAGGTAGAATATGACTTCGGCCAGCTGGAAGATTGACAGTTCATTTGAGTGTTTTGAGTTCATTTCTCATCAGATCAATCAATTCCCAACGCATTGTCGCACAAATATCTGGGCGTTAGGAAAACACGAACCCACGAATTGGGCCACGACTGTTTGGTAATTCCAACATAAATACCATTGTGGGATTCACTGGGGTGAAGAAGACGCAGGAACCCACTGCCAACTTAAGCCCTTGCAACGCTTCCAAATGCGGTTTTGCAGTCTTTACCGAACAATTGCAATTGGTGGCTTATCAGGTTCAAACCATTCTAGCTTGGTGAAAATGGGTCTTATTTCAGCAGCCAAACATGCCCGGATGATGGCGTCCATGCTTGAAAGATTGAAAGACTAGCATGTCATGGTTTTTCTTTTCTACTTGGAGTATTTGGTTGAAATGACCTGTCAATGCAGCAGAGCACAATCAAGAAGGCAGCTCTGAGACTTTGCCGAAGAGAAGGCCGTTGTCCCGCAAAAGGAAAGACATAGAAAGACACGAGACTCACATCGTCACGTCCAAGTGTCCAATCCAAAAGAGTCTTTTGAGGACTTGTTCCATTCAACTTGTTCTGGTTCTTTTGATACCCTAGTAACTAGAGGTGAATGGAGACTCCAAAAAAGATCGCCAGGGGCTTGTGAAGAGAGGCCCCTTGCAGTCTTCTACTTGGTGTTTCCAATGGATGTGTCAGGAGTTTCCTTCGAATTCGATGACAAAGCAACCTGAGGATTCTTTTCATCTTGCCGACGACCAAAGAGGCCAGCAGGGAGTCAACGCGAATGGGCGCGACGTGTTTCTATTGGTTTTGATGGATACTTGGATTCGGGGACGAGTATACATATGTCAACGACTGGTTTCAGTATGTGCCCCAAAAGCTTGGATAACAATAATCGGGTCAAGGGAGAATGAGCAAAAATATGTCAACAATTGGTTTCAGTATGTGCCCCAAAGTTTGGAGATTGTGGAGGGGAGGACAAGCAAAATATGTCATGTCAACTACTGGTTTCAGTATGTGGTCCAAAAACTTGGAGATCAGCAAAGTTGTTTGAATTTGTCAGAACAAATAAAGAGCATACATATGTCAACTATACTGCTTTCAGTTGTTCAGCCTTCAAACCTTGAAAACAAACAACGATTCTCTAATTTGTCAAAGGGGAGACGAGCACGAATATGTCAACTACTGGTTTCAGTAAGCATCCCAAAAGCTTGGAAACAAGCAAATAACCTTATCTGTCGAAGGGAGGACAAGCATGTCTCATATGTCATGTCAGCTACTGGCTTCAGTAAACACCCCACAAGCTGGGAGACCAACCAATTTTCCCCAATACCTCACTCTATTCCAATTCCTTCAGGTTCTAGGAGCGATCGGACGCGAACCGAACGGGGCGAGCTCCTGGCCTTACTACGAACGGAGCAAGCCAGGTGAAGAACGGCCCTTTCACGGAGATCGTGTGGCCCCATTTGAACCACGAGGTCAGGGACGCGGTCCAAGTGGAATTGAGCCACTGGGCCGCTAAGTTACGCCACGTGGAACGCGGGTCAAAACGACTGCCCAGTGGTGAGAACCGACTTGGGGATTTCAGTTGGTTGATCATGGGTCTGTCAGACGCCACCTTTTGGGCTGCTCGTTGGGGATTTGGATCTATTTTGGTTTGTTTTTAGATGTGTTTTATTGAGAAATGTGAGACCTGGATACCTTGCTGCTTGAGACCTGAAAATCCCTGGTAGACCGGACTTGTGGACCCCTTTCTTCCGTGGAACCTGTACCTTCGGCCGGTTGTGCGGGTCGAGGCGGCGGGTCGAGGGTTCCAACGGCACGTCCAAGCGAGCGATCCGGAAGGGAAGTTCGTGTTTCAGGATGTAACGCAGGAGCAAAGTCAACTACCAAGACGCCGGATTTTCCCATGAAGCCCAGGAGGGTTTGAATCCCACGAGTACGCTGAGGTGAGTACGCGGTGCTCAAGCACGAGCGGACCCAGGAGCTCCGGCACGTGCCTGGCCCAGCCACTTGGTCTTATGGGAAAATCTCGTCTTCGGTGTCAGAGAATTCCTGGTGGCTGGAATCAGGTTAGAATCAAATCTTCGGTGTTTCTTGTTCCACGTTGTTTGTTTTGTCGAAGTCTTGATTGTTCAGTTTTGGGGGGCACAAAGGTTCTACCATTGGATCATAATTGTAACATACTTGTATATCATATATACTTGTATTGTGTTTCTCAGGTTGGGAAGCTATTTGACTAAGATATTCTGAGCTGTTCCGATCCAAAGGGTTTTGGAAGAGACTGTAGACTCTACATGTAGTAAAGCCCACCGAAAATCAAACTGAATTCCCGGTGTTTTTGTTCATTCACCGATGTGAGAAGGGCAAACTAGATTTGACTTTAGGGTCAGACCCTTCTCAGAATGGTCTATCTACTAACCCGGTGTTTCATGTGCCCGGTCAGGGAAGAAGTGGCACTGGCACAAATCAAGACAGCCAGCCAGTTTGTTTGATTACGTAGAGGGATTTGGACGTCTTCAGACCGAGACACAAAGTTGGCTTGTGCAGAGTTCGAAGACAAGACAATCGCGGTCCATTCGAAGCTTGAAATGGCCTGGCGCAAGCTCCCAAGTGTTCGAAGGTCGCCACCCGTGCGGAGGAAGGGGGGGCTCCTAGCGGCTGCCTCTCCATCAAAGACATGCAAAAACATGCGAAGACCTTTGAGACCAAGTCTTTTGCTTGGTTTCGGTTTCGCGTGTTCAATGACGATCAAAACCAGGAACGGTACAACGTAGTACATGATAGGGAGCAGAATTCCGGCCGGCTCCATGTTCTGTCACCGGCTCCATGTGTCGAGAGCGCTTCGCTGCCCGAACCGAACCGGGTCCGTCGGTCCTCGCGTCTACTACCGTTCACTCGGCAGAGCTCGTGTCCTGCACCACGGTTTGGGGGCCTCGGTTTGGGCCCCGTCCACACCGTCCGCCCCGTCCCCAGCAATTCGTCTTCATGGGGGCCTACGAGACCCTGGAGGCCCGGCCTGAAAGCGGCCGTCGATCAGCGTCCATCAGGGTCCATCAGGGTCCGGGCGTGACCTTCATTCCTTACTGAAACAGTGGAAGTGGAGTTCACCGGCTTCGGCGGGTCTGACCCGGGAGGATGGGTCCTTTCTGGTGTTTGAAATCACCATGGGTGGTTACAGTAAAGTCAACTAGTGGTGACAAACTGCTCAAAAGATCATGAAAGATCCAACTAGAGGACATGACCTGCCTGCGCGACCGAGATTGCTGACCTCAGATCAAGGTCCATGAGGTTCAGACCTCCTTGAGGATGGTGGTGGCTGATTCGCGCCGGATCATTCTTGTCATAAAGGGCTGTGGGTCAAAACCCAAAGCCGCCAAAGCCCTCATCCCTTCCCAGCGATCCAGTCGTACCTTCTCAGGTATGGTGATTGGAGACCCTTTTGAGGGTCCAGTCGTACCGAACCTGAGAAGGTACGGCTGGATCCCTAGGGCTTGGTAGGTTGACTTCCTTAGTAGTCCATTCTGTTCATGTTCCGTCGGGATTTGTCGGTTGAAAGACCCGCAGAGCCCGAATCCTGGTTACGTTGTCTACCACGGACCATGCCATCCACCGCGGTCTGGGCACGCTGAGAAGAGTCTAATATCATACAAACAGATATAAATATACCGATATTTCTACACCTCTTGGAAGGTCCTGGTATGGATGAGATGTTTAGTAAAGTATAGTAAAGTATTTCCATGCAGCTTGGGGAACTAGCTTGGACATGAGTCCAGATGTATTTTTTTTGTGTTTTGAGGGGTGTCCCAGCCCCACTTTTCGGACACATGTTGATTCTCCCCCAGCAGGAACATGGCTGCTGAAGTTCATGGCAGTGTGCATTTAGCACAATGCCCAACACTGACCAACATACTCCAACATATCCTTGTACAATATATAGACCCCCTGGGATAGATATCAAAAGAAAAATCCCCACTTTAAAATGTATTGGAAACCGTGCCACTATCTATTTGGGGACCACTATAATCTGTGTGTTCGACATGCAACAGTCCTTGTCGTTGAAAAGCATGGCCCGCCTAAGAAGTTCGCAGGAAAAAGGTTACCTAGAAGCTGTTCTCAATCTCAATGCTCCAATGACTGAATTGCTTGTGATTCTTTTGGGTGAACATTATGTGAAAATAATCCACACACATGTGATTCTTTCGAGAACAGAACCCACTGCAGCCTGAAATGAGAACCCTCTCCAACCCGACCAGTGGCAGTGGCTCAAACGAACTGACGAATCCATCCCCCCACTGACTGGACTCTCCAAGAAAAGGTAAAAGTGTCTCCGTCCTCACCGTACCTTAGAGGGCGCCAGCGGATCGGGATTTGAACTTCTGAAAGGACACCCGAACAGGACGCTCCCGTGCGCCACGACGCTCCCACGCCGCTCTCGACACGGCGACAGGGCAAACGGACCAAGATCGTGATGCAGAAGCAAGAGCCACGCGGACGAGTAAAAATCAGGATCGAGGTCTCATCCTACTGACTTCCGAAGTTGAGCACTGAGCACTGTCATCTATACTTTGAAGATCTTTGAAGTCACCCCCCCATGGCTTGGTCACCCATCGTGGTTTTCACTATAGCTGAGTGCCGTGGTTTCGCATGTTTTTGGGGTAAAAACACATACCGGATGCTTTGGCACGTTGGGTCCAGAACTCGGTGACACTGGAAAATACCTTTCTGGCGAGGTATTCACTCACAGGTTGCTCGGGAGGTATAGAGGTGGTCTCTCATTTCAGTCGGCCTTCGTCAGCCTTCAGTTGAGGTACCACAAAACAAAAGGCTGAACTCATGCAGTGGATCCGATATGTTCAAACCAAATGAGGAGCCAAGTATGCCGAAAACAAATCCTCGAGCAGAACCAAGGTATGTCCGCCTCATCGACAAGATGACCGGGTCACGGGGCGTTGAGCAGATGCGACGGTTGGGGCGGTTGAGGTGGTTAGAGGATCACTCAACTGTGTGCTGAGCAGGTGGTTTGGTTCACATCAGAGGACTTCCCAACCACAGGGAATATGAGTTTGAAATTGGCTGGCTGATGGTCTTTTCTTTTATGCTACTGGACGTGCAGGTGTGGTTTTGAAGCACAGGTTTCCTGTTAAATGCAAGGGCTTTTGTTGTGCTCTCCGTTGTTCTTTCTGAAAAGGCTCACGTTTTTTCCTTTGATGCAGGAGGTTTCTGTCGGCCCTATGTGCAGTCGTTTTCAACTTCTGTGGGCGGGGGTGTGTTTTAGTGCTTGAGGAGCCCTCTGGTGTGTGAGGTGCTGGCCCTCATGGTGCTCATTCTGGGGGGGGGATTGCTTTGTTTTATGGTGAGGGTGTGTGTGTGTGTATACACATGACCACCATGGTCGTCGTGGTGGTAGCACTGGTCGTTGTGGTGGCGGTGCTGCGGGTGGGGGTGGCAGCAACACCCACTACAAAGCATAAACGAAAGCACCCTCAGCATAAAACCAGCACCACCATGAGCATAAAACAAGAATCTCGCCGGGCAAATGCGGCAAATCCATCGATCCTTCCGACATTCACGGATGCTGACTGGCCTTGCCTTCCATCGTCTCACGGAGTCTTGTGAGCCGGACACCCATTTACGGACCTGACCACTGCAGAGATCAGTTTTGGAGGTTGTGGTAGATGTGAAGGATTTTTTTGATGTTTTGCCGAACACTGCTGGGGCTATCTTTGTTCTTCCCGGAAAGGTTGGGTCATTGATGGTATTTTATCGAGTTAGCTCACTTTTCTGGGCAACAACAGCTGGGTAAGGGTCCTCTAACCTGTTTGTGGGTGGCTGCTGTGTTGAGAAGTGGAGAGTGTTGCAAGTTCATGTTGAGTAAGTCAATGCAAATTATAGAATAACTATGTTAGACTATGTTCACGTGTTTGGACGATGTCTTTTTTGCCAGATTTAATTGCTCACTATTGCAGGATGACTACAGACACAGAGAGTGAGTTTTGTTATGAGTGGCTCCACTCCAGGTCAGTTGAAGATGTTGCCAAAAATCCTCGTATGCCCCACATACCCCAAGTCCTGCTAGAGACGGACAGGACTGGGAGTAGGCCAGGCGCTCCAGTGGTCCACCTCTTCACGGCTGAAAACTGCCAGCAAAAAATATGTTGATTGGCTTGCTGTCTATCAGTTTCTTCGTCTACGAATGGACTAAAACAGTTCCGAATTGAGCAGTGAGAAAGTTCACCGGCTGTTGCGAAACTGCAGTTTCGCCTACCTTCCACAACTTCTTCCGCGCAAACATGTGTATCATGTCCGGACGTCCTCCTCGCCGACCACTTGGATTTCCTCCCAAAGCTTCGCACGCAGCATGCGTGCTGACTCCCTCGCGTGACTCCACGCGTTCCGCACCCCACGCGCTCCGCCAGGGAGGAACGAGTGGTGGCGGGCCCCACGACTTTGGTGCCGAATCCCTTGGAAGAGGTGTGGCGGGCAGAGTGGTCAGAGTGGTGAGTGGTTGGGATTGGTTTGGAGTCGTTGGGATCGTACGAGGATGTCATCATCTGATTGGGTTGATGGGTTAAGGCGCTCTGCTAAGCTGTGCAGAATCAAAACTGTTCGGCGGTTTCCACTAGCAGCGACTGTGCTTGTTGGTTCATGGTTTTGTTCCCTGTGTTCAGCTATTCTGATGATGTCCATCATGATCCTTTTCCTTGTTCCGGCTCTTTTACAGGGAGTCACCTGCCAATCACGGTGGAGTGAAAATGGGACGGAATCGAGAAGACGTGAGTGTTGCGCTGGTCAACAAGCAATGCACTTCTCCCCAAGAAATAACGACTCTCCCTGCAACGTCCTCATGGTTACTCGGATGGCATGGCCCCGAAAGGAAGACCATTTTCCTCTACAAACGGGGGGGTTTTCACTTGCATGTTAGTTCCACAGAGTGTATAATATATAAGGACACTGGGTTGCAAAGTGGTGCACTGTTCACTTTTTGCCGCAGCCATTTCCATCGAACATCAGCCACTTGGCGCCGGCAACTGTGAAGACAGCCCGGCGACGAGACGGATTTCCGAAGTGCTGGACCGAAGCGCAGCGAAGCGACCCGACTGAAGCCACTGACAGAGGCAAGTTCAGCAACTTCCGAACATTCTAGTAGGAGTGGCTTCAGCATGGGAGGCTGGAGAAGTTGACAGCAGAGTATGGGGCACTACGGGGGACTCCAACTTCTTCGGACGGGGGAGTTTGTCCTCGCAGCGCCATTGCTGTAGGTGGGGGGACCCGGGTTGAACATGTAGCCCAAAAAATCTGCGCCACCTTGTCGCCCGCTGCAAAAGTTTGATGGACACTTTGGCACTATGTGCCGCTCGCTCTGTCGCATGCTTCACTTTCATCATCTGGCTGTCAGTCGTAAACCTCGGCATCGCATTAAGTGGGAGACCAGCCCAGGAAATTCGAAAGGCACAGAACAAGGGCTCCAAGTGGACTCTTGTCATTGGTATTACATGTTGATCGTCGGCAAACGAAGATTGAGCTGTTGATTGTTGTCAGTGACATTGCGCCTTTGCATTCGTGTAGGCCTCAGAGCGGTTTTTTGAGCTGCGGCACAGCGTTTACATTGTGTCTTTTCTACGAGGAACATGAGCCCAGTGAGGCGCCTTCAAGTCAAACCCCATCAAGACATGGTTTGGAGAGGGCTCCCCCTCACCCACTGGACGTTCATTTGCATTCCCTCTCGCCGATGGCACACTTGTCTCTCACGCTGCTTTCAGTTGAGCGCCTCATAGATGCACGCCGCACTGTTCGAGAGACCAAGCCTGGCAAAGGAACATGATCTGAAAAATGCAGCAAAATAGACACAAACGCCCACGACCTGTCCATTGGTTGTTCGCCCAGTTCTCTACTCTCTTTGCCCGCATTCGGTGCGCCTGAACTGACAAAACCCGTTCACGGTGTGAACTTTTTCTCCACAAATATGGCAAGACGGTTGCAGCAGATGGGTGGAGAAAAGGTTTTCGTAGGAGTCGAATTTGCAAGCCTGGGCATATTTTTCAATACACCATAATGCGCCCTTTAACCGTTGAGTTGCACTGTATCAAGTCCCAGCTTCAGGCCAACTCTAGGCCAACTCTGAATGGTACTAACCAGGTCATTCCCATCAACGCATTGACTGGTCATGACTGAGTCACAGCATTCTCCGTTCCGGGCGCAGTACCCCACGGGCGTGGAGACAGCCATCGTCATCGGCGCGCAGAACGCAGTCTTAGAGCCTTGCACAGAATGGGTATACGCTTTGCGAGAGAAAATGGTGTAAAGTCATTTCACATGTGACAAGCACTCCAAAGATCCAGAAAGATGATCAAAAGGTTTGTTGAAGGTCAATCATTACAAGTTGACTGTAGTCTATACATGTTCAGTTCGACTACAGTTGGTGATGCTTGGGGAAGGTGTGATTGTGAGGCTTGGGGTGGCCACATTGCTCCGGAAGACGAAGGCAAGGACGTTAGACTTAGACTTACAACGATGGCTTACTCACATGTATAAACCACTTGTTACTAACAGACAAACAGTTGGTGTGACCACGGTGACTTGTGGACAGGAACCTTTTTGCCAATACGTATATCAATTTTTCCTTGCTGGAGGTTGGAAGGCGCACATTGAACAACATATTATGTAATTCATCTTAGGATCTAGTTGGTATCACCAAATGTGTTGGTATCACCAAATGTTTTTCGCACACCAGTGCTGGTGAACATTGTTTAAGACGTTGTTTTTGGATTCCACTTGTTCGAAAGGGGAAACTCACAGGAAAGACGATCACCTGTTGGCACTGTTGCCGCAGGATGCCGCAGGTGCCTCAAAACAGTAAGCTCACCGTGTAGCCGGTCAGGTTTAAAGGAGGTATTTTACGTCGTTTCAGACATGTGGCTGTGGGTCAAAACCCGGAACCCTAAACCCTTGTAAATTGACGTCACGTCCCTTGTAGTCAATTCTGTTCATTTTCTATGGTCAACAGGTGGGTCCCCCGGTTCTGATCGATAGCCATGTAAATCACCGTCTCAATGTGATGCAAGTTTCTTTTTGTTCGCACCTTTCATGAGCAAAGATTGGAACTCACCGCCGGGGAAGCAGTCTCGGGGTTCCCACGTGCGCAAATCCAAACTGCACTCAAGATAAAGTGACAAGCAACCGTAAACAACCGAACAACCTCAGAAAAGAGGCCGGAAAGCTCTAATCAGATCTTGGACGCCTTCATGGGTCTTCATGGGTCCCTCCTGAAACGGTTTGGGGTCTCGACCGGGTTCGTCGGGTGACCGAACGGCCGAGGTCTACAACAAGACTTCTGGGCTGAAGAGCCTCATTACGGAGGTGCGGTCGAACAGAAACGCAGCGGGCGGCGGATGGCTTTGATGGTTTTCCGCCCTCCCACAAGGAGCCCAGGGTCGGGGAGTCCAGGCTTTGCAGAGGACAAGAGAGTGAAACGGTGAAACTCCAAGTCCAGGTGTTGCATCCCTTGAACAGGAGATAAGGCCCCCCAAACAGAGGAGATCTTACTGTATCCGGCAGGATTAGATGGACAATGGGTGGAAACAGTTGTGACTGGAGATGAGGCAAAGATCCTCATATCGCCACATTGTTTCAACTCTTTTTGGGTATCTTTGCTTCCAAGATCAGGATCAGTAACATGCCCGAGAAAAATCGCGATAAATTTTGCCTAGGTCTTTGGTCTATTCATCCTAGAGGACTTGACTTGGTTGTGGGATGTTGTGGGGCTCTTTTACATGGTGAGGCGATCTCGAAGGACTCTTTTGTTTTAAATGTTAAATGAACTTTTGGGATAGGCCTGGTAAAGGGACAACGAGATGATCCTCTCTTTGCGGACTGTCAGGCTGGCGCCTTCATCCCAGCTCCCTATGAAGAGATCTTGTCAGAACAGCAGGCGCTGCTTCCCAAGGTTCAGAACCTGAGGGCCATTGATCTTGTTTCGGGCCATTTCGGGCAGTCCTATTTTCGGGGGGTCAGGCCCTATGTTCGGGCAGTCAGAGACTCAAGCTTAGTCCTCAGTTGTCGAGCTTCATGTCCAAATGCTGGAGCCTCCACGCGCGGAGTTGGACCCCCAGTCCGATAAGTCGGGGGTTTGGAATGTTGGAAGGTGGCTGGGACAACGACATGTGTCGGTGTGCTGGGAATTGTCTACCCCAATAGTAAAAAAGGACCCTAACAATGCAAGGGGGGCACTATATGTTTGAGAAAGTTATATTATCATTTACAAGTCGTAAGGTAACCTGCTTTGGAAATTAGAGTTTCCTGCAAGTGCTGTACAACTGGCACCTATTTTCATCGACAGATCGGGACCCATGGACCCAAAGGTGGGTGAGGCTATGGACCTGAGCAACGTACTAAGCAAAAGTGCTTACAAAGTGTCCAACACACACATCTTTTGGTGACTACTTGAAAATCCGTAAACCTTTGGAGTCAATGTGGAGGCTTTTCAGGGGTCAATGACGGTCAATGTATGTCATTCCCTACATGGACGGAGCTGCGGTGGGATCGGTACCATCCAGGCGCGACTGTTGGAACCTTTGGAATACGCCGTGGTGAAGGACCTCCTCACCGGTGAGGCCCGGTGTTTGAGGACCTCAACGGTCGAATGCTGTAGACATCTAAGAATCTATACAGTATGGAGCTGTGTATGATGTGTTTGAGTGGAATAAAGATCATCAACTGCTTACATACTACATATTAGGACATCATGACTACATTTGGCACACTCCAGCGACATGAGTCAACAGTTCATGGATCCAATGTCCAATGAGCAGGTTGGGAGTCAAGTGGGGAGTAGTGAAGTTCAACTAGATCTGCGTGTGTTCGAGTCATTGTTCACGCTCAAACCAGTTGGCTCGTGGAAGCCTTTGAAGTCAACTGCACTGGCACCAAGTAGACCCCCCCTGTCTTGCCCCCAAGGTGAGTTGAACTTTTCCTAGCTTTAGTAGCTGTGGGCAATTGACTTGTTCGGTGATATTATTGGTTTGGTCCCTCGGAGCAGGAAGAGGAACAATAATTCGCACTTGGCCTTTGGAAATCCTTCAAGCTTGAACGGAATTGTGCGTCATTGAGCGTCGATGTCCGTCACATTCCGTGACAATTAAAGTTTCACATCCTCTCTAGAAATTAGGCACATGGGTCACATGGGTCTTTATGAATCCTTGCACCTGCTCAATAACTACGCTGTTTTCGTCGCAGCCTCGCCCTTGTTATCCGATTTGCGCCATTTGCCGGTTGTACCAAAACACCCTTCACGAGATCTCCCACAATGCACCCCGACAGCTTTGTTGTTCTCGAGCTTGTACTGTGTGGCAAAATCACAATATCCCCCTGGCACAGAACCGTCTGCACTTGAAACTCGTCCAAAAGATTGTTTTTCCAAACCCCGAGTGAACCTAACAGCCCTGAAATAAATACCAATCCATATTCAGATAGGGAAAATCCGAAAGATTAAATTTCAACTAAAACCCGGTGGTTGGAGGGTCTCCCTTCCTTTTTGCGCAATCATATACTGTAGTTCTTCTTCATGCTTGTTCAAAAGTAACTGGAAAAGCGCTTGACATTTGACAACTTCGATTGATCCCAGGCACGAAATGAAGTGGGGCCGAAGTTGCTACAGCAAGGCCCCTACGAGGAGCATCCGCCGCGTTCGGTCTCGGAGGGGTGGTCCAGGTGTAGCGAACGAACCGGTTGCGAGAGGAAAAAAAGGTGAGATGAAAATGGGAGTTCTTTTTTGTGTAATACGTGTAGTCTATTTTGGGGCCATGATATTGAAAACTATAGAGGTTTGAGGGGTGCGTCTGGCGTGGTCTTAGACATCAGAACCATGAGATCGATTGATGACTATTCTGTGCAGAAATGCATCATCCACCAGGGTATTGGATTTGGGCCAAAGGTCAAATGATCAAAAGATCAACCCAGAGGCTCCGTTCACACTCCTGGGTCCCTGAAAAGCTAGGGATTTGATGGCCCGGACTTCTCCATATGAGGGTCCAGGAGCGTTTGGGAACAGGTCTACATTGAGTGAATCAATGTGCGGCCCACGTGCCAGTTGATTCTCTATTCCATCAAGCCACGTGTCCCAGCAGTGGGTACTTCGGCCAAAATGTGTGTCAGGAGACCGAAGGTTCTTATATGAAACACCGGGAGGGGAGGGACCTTCTTTCAGCTTTGCACTCAAGCATCGGCCAGAGCTGGCGAGTCGGACGTGCGCTGTGTGCGCTCTGCGAGGAGAAGCAGTGCCTGTTCCCCACTGAATCCATTTCTAAGCCATATGGGTGTGGATTGCTTCGTTGGGTAGAACCCCCTGGCCCTGGCTGGGTAGACTGGGTCACCCTTCCCTTCGGGCCCCGGGTCGAAATGGACATCGCCCGGTGCACCGAGATCAAAAGGCGACCCATCGGTCGCCCCATCGGTTGCGGCCCATCGGTCCGGCCCATGGCGCGACTCACCACTAGAGCCCCGAGGTCCAATCCCGAGGTCCAATCCAGAGAAAGTACGACCCCTGGACCTCCCCGTCCGGGCGGAGGAGATCTTGGCCACGAAGCAGAAGATGGTGCTCGAAAAGGCCGAAGAAGAAGACCCGAGTCAAGTCGACGAGAGGATGACGACCAAGAGGGAGTCGAGACGGAGTCTCTGATCAAAAATGGGTTGATGGTTTTTATTTAACGGGATGTATAACTTCATATTACTTGATATAACGGGTATGAGTCAGATGAGTGACGTCCTCATGAGATCAATGTGCGAAGATCTCGGCCAGGACCTCTATTGACAATTCGTGGGACACCGCATTTGTTCGGATATTGGGTACAAATCCTCATAGTGGGGTCCATCCGGATGAGTTTAAGTCAAAATCATGAGGAGAACGGTCCCTTAGGGTCTGTTTTGGTAGATCCTTCAGGTTCCATTTCTGCTTCCCAATCTGTTTGAGACTGAACGTGCTTGACATGAGCTGCAGATCATGTGTGTCGCTGACACAGCCAGGATGAATACCTCCAACTCCTGGACAAAAAGACGGGCACCGAACGAGTTTTAAAAGGCACGGCACAACGGTGTGCTGAGAGGGGGGGCGGCAGTAGGTCTTTCTTCATTGGTATATATTATATTGGTATTGAGACGTTTATTCGCAGACATGTGGGGAGGTCGGACAATTGACACCGAAGATCCTGAAGAGATTCACATCCCGCTGACGCTTCCGGACGTCCCCAGAACCGAAAACAGCCTCAATCGGACCGCTAGAACGGAACCTATCTACTGGTGGACTCTTGCATGCCAAGAGGTATAAACTTGCTGAGGTTGTTGATAGAAGCTGGACTGCTCATCAGCGACCTTCTTGGAGCCTGTGAAAGACAAGTCTGTAGAAACCAAAACCCCGACATCTTGTCACTGACTGGAACTTGGGGGTGTTTGTATGTTCTTGTTGCTGTTGTCAACCCCCACCTCACAGGATGGCCCGGCATGAAACGAGTCCCGCCCCCCACCTGACAGGGGCGTTGCCCGCCTGGCCAGTCCAACAAACCAACAGCGCGCAAGGAGAACGCCAAAGATAAACGCAGACAGCACAACAAGAGAGAAGAATTAAATAAAAGAGACAACACAAAATGCCACACTATGAAACACCCAAACTGAGCACCAGACATCCTGCCAGTGGCTCGACCCTGCTGTCCCCACCAATCATAACGTTTGACAAAGCTCGATGACAAAGATGAGAGCAGACAAAAAAAACAACAAGCAGAACCACTACGGAGAGGACCCGCCCTATTGTGACCTTTGCTACTGCAGAGCGTTACGGAAACACGACAAAACACAACCAAGAGTGACACAGACAACACACAATGACACGCACGCGCCACTTCACCGCCACACACAAGCACAACATGTTTACACTCGCCGCCCGACCCAGAAATCCCAGAGGCGGCCCAGTGTCTCGCTGGCATGGCATGACAGCAGATGGGCAAGACGTTGACACAAATCATCAGAGAATATATATTTTAAGATCCCCGAATATATTTGATTATTTGGGTTATTCCAAGGGAAATATTTGTTAGTAGCTTCTTGTTACTAGTAATGCCAGGAGCCACGTTCGGTTCGCGTCCGATCGCTCCGTTGGGTCCGCGATGCCCAGCGTCGCCCGTCTCCGTCGCCGTCGCCGGTGGACCTGGGTTTTTCGTCGTGCGAGGCCCGGATCAAGTGGTGCCGGGACCCAGTGAGGAAGCACCAGACACTCGGCGAAGCCGAAAGGCACCATCGATTCTGGGTCCCGGGTAGACCATGTTGGATCCATTTGGCAGTCAGTTTGCACGAAAACATCCGCTACAACAGCTCTCACGACCTTTGAAACCCAAACCTCGGTTTGGCCATGTGGCTTCCGCGCTGCGATCGGCTTCGATCGATGTTTCAAGTTGTTTCACGCCTCGCCGAATTCACTGGCCACGCCTCGCCGAATTCTCCGGCCCCCGATTGGGGCCCATACATCTCATGCTGTCCATCTCCTAGGTGATGATGTCCATGTCGCGCGGCGATCTGATCCGTGATTCATTTGGGAGAGCCGTCTGGCGAGATTTACTCTCCATATCTCTCCATGTTACGTGAGAAATCGCATTGTTTAAGGATTACTTTCCCGGATCCCTCTTCCAATGTAACGAGTGGCCTGGTGGGAGGCGTCGAGAAAAGCACTGCGGGTAGACTCGACCGCACTATCGTGTTACCAAAAAGAACGTGTTGTTTCCATCGGTTTTTTGATGTTGTTTGCCGGGTGTTGGGGGTTTGGGGGAGCATTTTGGACCACAGCAAGTACTCACTGGTTCAGATGCCCCACTTGAGCCAAGTTGTGCAGATCATGTCCGGTAAGACCCATCCGAGGGAGGCGGAAAGCAGAAGGCAGTCTTTCTGACAGATCAGCAGGCTGTGGTAGTTCTCAACAGGCCGCCGGGGTTCTCTCGTGACCGGTGACGAACATTGGCATTGTGTGGGATGGAACGTGATGGGTTGCAGGTGTCTATAGGTTTCTATATGATATGAGCTAAGCAAGTACACGCAGCGCGTGTTCAGTGTGTTCCGGATGCGTTGGGGAATCTACCGGTTCATGATGGCATCAAGTTTTTGGAGGACTTTCAGATTCAGTTTCTTTGTTTTCATAATCTACTGTACTCAGAAACCATTCCTTTGCTGATGAGGAAATTCCTAAGCACTTTGGTCACGGTCGTTGAGGAGGTTGTTCGACCGTCGTGCCATGAATCTGGGTTCGCTCATGAGCTGCAGATGGGGCTGCCAGCTTTGCGCGTTCACCCAGAGCATTCGAGCGCATCTGGAAGAAACGGGTAAAATAAAAGCATGTGGAAGGCGAGAAACGAACGTTTGGAAAGGGCAGAAGATGCGGAGGGATGTCCTGGAATATCTGCCTGGGGGAAGTTTGCCCAGCCAGTTCTGCAATGTGGCCAACTGTGGCAAGAATTCACCTGACTTCCGTGTATGGTCCCTACAGTGTACACGGATGATTTCCGTGGCAAACTAGCGAGAACGATCCAGGTGTGTAACGTGGCCATGGATGGATGGAAACATGTCCGGCCCACTTTCTGGTCAGTGTTCTTTGCAACTCGGGATTGACCTAATCCTGATCCTTGCCGCGAGACTGCGACAACTCGTCTTGAAGAAGAGGTGGCCTGTTGCCTAGGCCTAGGGCCTAAGTTGTCACCTGACTGAATTTGACGAAGGACAAGATATTAATTATTAAACAGTGTTGATCTTTTGGGGGGGATATTGGGGGTGCCTGAAGAATTGTTGCGATCATTTTCGGCAGCCCTTTCTTCAGTGCAACATGGAAATGGCATCATCCACGATGATCCTGTATCAGGCTTGTCTGCAATACTTGCGCAGCTCGCATGTCAAGATTTTCTAAAACCGTCCCGCAACTCACTGAGCCAGACCAAAGAGTCCTCATGAAGCCTTCTCGAAACTTGGCATCAAAGGGTACTGTAGTATCTCGGGCAAGCCGCTCCAATGCCTGTCAGGGCAGAGTCACTCGTGATTCACAACCAGGAAAACATTGCTGTTTGCTTGCAGATTCACCAAACCAAGACCTGCAAGCTTGGGGTTTGCTGGCCAAGGACCGCCCAATGAAAGGAGGACAGGCCACGCCTTTAGTTCAGCCCGCGCTGGCCAACCCTATGTCCTCCTCTTGTCCTCCTCTTGTCCCTTGGTCTTGTCTTCCTTTTGTCCTTCTGCTGTCCTGCTGTTGTCTTCTGGCCGCGCTACTCTGCTCCTCTTGTCGGCAGTTCTGCATGCAGTGAGGTGATGGCCACAGAAAGGATTGATATATAGAGCTGGGCTCTACATATTGTGATGCAAGATGAGCTGGGCAGCGAAGAATGCCGAGCAAAAACAGGCGGCAAAGGACCCCCAAGGAGTCGCGGAACCACGACAACCTCGCAAAAGCTGAGGCTGGGCCCAAGAGGAGAGGTGCACCGAAAAGATGGTGACACCAGGAACAATACCCTGAGCAACTAGCGTCAGGGAGCATATGAGCATAATGGAGAATGCATAGGGTTTAGAGGGACCAAAAGAGTGAGCGCAGAGCAGCTTGGGTTGGGATGGGACACAACCAAATGCTATGAACGCATAAGCTTTGAAGCAAACAACCCCAACCAGCCTAAAAAGCAAGCTGATAATAACCCTTCTGCTTTAAAAAGCCCTACGCCCTAAACCCTGACCATTTGATGGTTTGGGATTGTACGGTGAGGCAAAGCTTGCCCAAGGCCTGAAAGGGCGCCAGCAAGCATGGGCACACAGACCCGGAGAAGGGCTGGACAAGGTGGTGAAGACGGCTACAGCTAGAATGGCCAGCAGCCAGCCCTTTTTCCCAAGAACCCCAACAGTAAACGTTTCAACAGTGAACGGCTTTCCCTCTTGCAGCTATATATGGTCCGGTGCGGCGCTTCACCCAGACCGCGACCGCCACCCCGACCGCGTCACCACTTCGACAGGACTTCCGGGCAGCGACGCCTGGAGACCACCAACGGGGTCTTCATCCCCGAGGCCTACGAGCGTGTCTTGGAGGCGAGAACCGACAGACGGTAGCACCCAACGGGGTGCTGGGAGCAGATTGGCATACGGCGCACTGCACTATAGATTCATTGGCTTGATTGAACTCATGTTCAAAAAACTCTGGCAATTGAGGGTGAACCCTCTCAGTCACTCCAATATGTATTATCATGTATTATCATAATGCTGAGAAAATATGCCCTATCGTCAGGCCACTGGGATGCAAACCAGGTTCATGCATGGCACACATATGCACATACATACACAAAGACCCTTCATGTTGGCTATCACATCACCTCCTTTTCGCACTGCAAACTTGAAAGGTGCGCACCAAGTACTTGGTCCTCACGCATCAGGCGCGGAGGAAATGCGACCCGCCAGTTCCCAGTGTTCGCGGTCTTCACAGTGCTGGGTTCAGGGCGTGGAGAACAAATTGAAGAGGAACGAACCTCACTCAGTGAAGAGTTTTGAAGAATTCAGGTGACAGTTTTGGTGGATCAAAATGTTGCTTGATCTGAAGAAACGTGTGCGCGGGGGAGTGTTTGTTGAGAAAAACACTGTTCAGTCAGAGCCGACTCGGAACTTGAAGTGGAGTTGTGGAGTTGAGTAATTATAGAGCATTGAAATCGCCACTGTAAGTCTAGTTTCCAAGAACCGAAACCAGCAGACTTCACTGCAATCACTGGAGATTTTGGAAAAAAACAAGTACAGTAAACATTAAACCGAAACAACTTTGTTGTCAGGGATTCCTGACAAATGCAGCACACCGGAGCAAACCTGGCAGGGCCATCACCCCTTTCTGTAGTTATGTTGTTTTGATATCATTCTTGCAGACTTTGGTTGGTGCAAAAAATTCTACACACTTATGCCCCATGTCCTTCCCGAGTGAAGGAGAACTTGTCCGAAACAGCACGTTTCAAGCTAGGGATGGAGGTTACTGATGATTATATCATCATAGATCAAAAATAGTATTGTTGGTGGTTTCAGGTCCGTCGCAAAAGAATGAACAAGTTTGAATGAATTTTCCCCAAGACAAGTTTACAGTTTACATCACCATATTCGACTCCCCAAAATCAGAAGAATCTTCGCGTTTGCGGTCGTGAAAGCCGACTACGATGTTGGGCTGGCTTTGACATGGGTGCATTAGAATATGGAGACCCTCCAACCACCGGGTTTGAGTCTATTTTGCGAACCTTCCGGGGGGTCCAACTGAGAGGCTTCCCTATTTTGTTTATAATACATGGTTTTCACATGCTTCGACTCCTTCGCATCGTTTTTCGATCTTTTTTCACATGTTTGAGCCTTGTACGTGTCGCAGACCGCAGGCAGCAGTGACGCGTGACGTGCAAGGCGAATGTTTGCCGGGTGATGGGGTGAAAAGTCAAACCTGGGGAAGAAGATGGACGAAGGGAAAATCCGGAAGTGTGAAATGGACAGCACGTGTGACAGAAATGCTTGAAGGGTTTCAGGTTGTTTGCTGGATGTTTTGGTTCCAAAGAAAGGTCACCTCAGGTGGTACCTCGAAACCTCGAAACAAGGTTTTCAGAACAACTTCTTAAGGGGTCAACTGGTCAACCCCCATTGAAGCTTTTAATCAAGGGGCCTCTGGAGGGCGGCGCCGATTGTAGATGCTTGCAGTAAATGATGGTAAATGGTCAAGTTTTGAGGGAGGTAATCATGTACACTAGGTACCACAGCATGGCCCTCCATTGTTGTTGCCAGCATAGATGCCCTAGACCCCAGGGTCCAACCGTGATATCTTCCGAACATCCAGAAGTACGAAGTGCCACCCGTCCCCGAGACGACTCCTTTGCAGACAGGGGTTGTACTTCCATGTTTCTTTTGGGAGTGTAGGTTCCCCAATGCCCACGTCTTCGCCGAAGGCAACTTGCGCGAGATCAGCGGCGCGGATGGTTCGGACGCCTTCTTCTTGCAGCCCTATGAGGCGCAGCCGATGACGAACATGCGTTGACAATTGGGGCGATGTGGAGGACTCCACCAGTGCAAACCGGGGGTCTTTGTTTAGCTGGAGTTGATGGAAGTTGGAACTGGCTGGAACATCAGATACACTTTGGTTGTTCTCTTTTTGGTTGTTGAAAAGGCTCCATATATGTGGTAAATAACACAATGTGCACATCTCAATAATGACCCCCCCTCTAGTAAAAAACATTTGGGGACATTGGAAAGGGATAGACAAAGACTATGTTGATTGGATTCGGTGGAAAGTGAAAAGAGTAGTCTAGCAAGTTATGTCTATTGGCGCGGCGGGTGTTCATACATTACGTTTAATTGTCAATATGCTCTATAAATGTGATGCTTGCAAAAATAGAATTGGACGAAAAAATGGGAGGTCAAGTTATTATGCGAGTATTGGACCAAATTGCATGAGCATTACAGATTGTTTAGGGAAACACTCAATTCCATTCTTGTAAGAAGCGCAAAAAAACATCCGTTTGTCATTGTCGGCTTTTCTTTACTACATTCAATGATGTTCAATGTAAATATATAGTTCTGCGCTGTCGATTTGCAGGAGCTGGTTCAGATGCAGTGGTCTGTCTACCAGCCGGACTCAGTGGCGCCTCAGCAAAACGCCGCTTTTTCGGGCCCGGTTGCTAGAACCGAGAGCTATGCCGAGCTATGCTCGACCACCCCTAGCTATGAGTCTGCGGAGTGCACGCCTTCCTTGATGTTCTCTACCAGAAATCTTCCTGCGGAGTCGTAGACATCGTAGACATCTCTTTTCCTAAGATTTCTCGGAGTCTTCTAGATGTCTTTCTTTTCTCTACGAGTGCATGCCTTTTTCTTAAATCCAGACATCTCTGACATCTCCAACGAGATGTTCAGGAGTCGTACAACCTCGACTTCTCAAAACGTCGGTTCTTTTCTTTACGAGGATTTGTGACCAATTCCAGTCCGAAAGTGATCTGAAGCATTTTCTTGCGCTCTTCAATGAGACCTTCCAACTCACGCACCCTCCTCACGCACCGTGAGTCACTTCACTCGGTCGCAGGCGATTGGCCGGTCGCTCGGGTTCCCCTCCTTCAGGATCCGGTGCCCAAGGAGACAGTGACCATGATCGATCTGAGATCTCAGAAGATGTCTCGTGGCGCAGCAACACCGGGTTGACCCGACTGTTACGAGACGTCTGTCTTAAAAGAATGTTCTGTTTTTGCCTGTAACTTACAGGCAGTCGGTCAACTAGAACATTACTAGTTTAGGGAAAGGCCTGCAACCTAACCAAACCATCATCCACTGCTACAGGCAGTTACAGGGAATAGGATCATACACCCTCAATTACATATAGAGAGAGAGAGAGAGACTCCTGGAAAGGTTTGCTGCAAATGCCCCAGAAAGTTCCATTGGATGCCTTTTCTGGAAAGTGATAGAAATTTGGTCTGTCCGTTCTTACCTGTAACAGTCAGTAAACAATTATTACTATAAAGATCTTTCATATGGTAAGGCCAGAATCCGCGATTTAAAAAAAATAAAAACACAAATGTCAAAAAAAAGATCAAATGGAACAGTCAAAGTCAAAAAATATCAAAAATATACCACTGCTCGAAAAAGTCAAAAAAGATGTCGAAAAGAAAAGGTCAACCAATGGAAAATTTGTAAAAAAATGTCAAATGAAAGTCAAAAAATGAAAACCATGTCAAACAAGTTGTTAAAAAAAATAGAAAAACAAAAGTGAAGAAAAAGTCGGATCTGGGCAAATTGACTTTTCTGACTCTTCTTTAAATTTTGAAAGCAGGCTCTCTCCAATGAAAGAGTTTTTTAAAGTTATCACTATTTTTGCACAAGGCCTGCAACTGAACCATCATCATCCACTGTTACAGGTAATAGGATAGACCCAAGATAGAAACTCCCTTCTAGAAGTTCTTGTTCGTAGCTTCACAAATGGGTTGATGCAAGTTGCTTGACAGTCGAGCAAACGGAAGTACGTAGGTCTATAAGTCTTCTATGTTACATATGTTATAAAGAGTCATTCCAGTAGGCAGAATGGACCAATTGAAGAGTTTGACGATGTATGAGCCAAGCACGTCCCACTGAATTCAATATCGTTAAAGTAGCTCCATCGGGTCGACGGACGGAGGTCTGCGGGGGGACCATGTTGGTCGGACCGATCGGTGCCTGCCTCGAGCGGCACTGTGGGATACTGTGGGCGATCCGTTCGACCAAACTAGACTTGAGGAAAACGGCAATGGAAAAGGAAATGCATGGATATGGACCCCACCAAGAGCGATCATGTCAAGTGGTATTTGGCGACACAAGTCTTGCTTGCTCAGTTCACTTTAGAGTCACCTCCCCGCATGACTCGACTCGATGACGATGACGAACTCGGCGGAACTCGTCCACGACCGCCGCTCGGTCGACCCCGCGTCCCACCGTCCCACCGTGTCCGCGTGGGCCGAAGCGGGGCTTTGAAGCGAACGGGACCGCGTTCTGAGCGATCAGGTTCTACAACGTGGAGGTGAGAACCAGCGATAATGTGAAGATGCGCATCCCGGCTCATTCCGGTGGATGGGTCCCAACATGCATGTCCGAGGTTTGGACTTGGAGCTTCTGAGGTCTTTGGATGGCTTATTTCACCAGAGGTGCAGGGGATGATGTGTTTTTATTGGTTTTGGATGTTTCTGTTGGACGAATTCAGTTTTTAGTATCTTTTAGTTGGGAAGGGAAGAGTCTAGTCATCTATCATCCGATTCTTGCGGCGCAGAGAGGTGCATGGTATTCATCCACCTGGTTTTGCTGATGAAGTGGATGTGATGGGTAAATCTATGGGGGACGATGTTTTTTGCTCAGAATTCCTTAAAGCAAATCCGGTGGATGGATTCGCCGCTTCGCCTCTCAGAGTTCAAGGTCGATGATAGCCGGACCCACTTCTTTCTCCGAGGCATTCAGGGCACCCTCTTCTGGCAGGTGAAGGCACCCCGCGGCTCGGGTCGCGCGCAAGCCGGGGTCTGCTTGACCGTGATGTGAGGAAAGATCTGTGCGATGTCAACTGGTGGGTGCAAAGCCGAAGCGTTTAGGAGCTCATTTGGAAGGAGTTTTTGTTGTTCTTCCGTGGCCGACACGGGTGCCGGACCAGGACGTGAGTGCTGCATGTGACCATCCAATGGATCCACCAGAAGAACTGGTCCATCTACCCTAGCTCTTATCAAAGCCCATTGAAGTATTAAGTAAGAACAATCCCAACCCTACCAGTCAGATCCAACACATGTTTCAACCGACTCTATCCCATCTCCACATCATCCCACACCACCCACTTCCGCCGCCACAGAACGTCCTGACCATGATCGCCATGACCGCCGACCCGGCGGGCGACGTGTCGCAGCGCGCGCGCAGCGGGCTCATCGCGGCAGTGTCCAAAGCGACCTTCGCGGTGGCTCGGTGCGGATCCGAAAGGAGGGGGGGGTGGAGAGGGATGACCGACTTGGTGAGGTGAGGAGCCTGGTGGTTGAACTGGATGGCCAGATGCCAGTGGGTTCGGAGCCTGGTGTTGTTTGTTTGGTGTGTGGAGTGGAGAGTTGAAAGTGGTGTCAAGTGGGCAGTTGAAATAGGCTTTTCAAGGGATCGGAACTCAGTGGCTTCAGGTAGAACGCTGGTTGAGTTGTGGCGGGTTTCAGGATGTTCGAGACCTTTTTCGCTTGGTTCTGAAGAGAAGATGAGGTCTCCAGGCTTTTCTCCTGGGGCACACCAGCGGGTGGGTCCCAGGTCCCAGCGGGTGGGTTCCACCGCGTGTTCGATGCTTCGCTTCGACCGATGCGTCCCGTGCGTCTCAGTCTTGGCGTGGCTCGGCGCGAGGACACGGGTGGGTTGGCGATCATGTTGATCATAAACCAAAGTTTTCTTCATGTGGGGGTATGATTAATCAAGAGTCTACATGGGTTTGTATTTTGTGTGATCCTTTTCTTGGTCACCTTTTATAAGATTGATGCTATAATATATCATTTGACGTAGCAGCTCATGAACAGTTGAAACTTGATGCTGACTTCAGAGATACCTAAATGATCCCAAAAGAACAAAAGCCTCAGCTGGATGTTTGTTCAATCCACCAAAATCCGTTCATGACATTTTGTTGAATCATTCTGGTCTTCCGTTGAAGGACACTTGTACCCCAAGTCCCCAGAAATAAAAGAATCCAGACGTCAGCTTCCGACTCGAGCCCGCCCGGCTGGACCTCCACAAGCTTGGACTGCCCAGACCTTCATGAATGAGTTCGGCAACATCACCCAACAGGCCCACCTTTCGCTGTTCGAGCTTTGGACCAGGTGTTTCGATGACGATCTCGGTCTGTGGATGGACTGCCTGTAGCAGGAGACGAAAAGAAACGACCAGAAACGACCATGGTGAGGACTCTCACGTGTTCGGGAGGGGCAAGTTTCAGTCGGACGAATACCTCACATCGTTTCGTCCGTGGCGACGACTTCTTCGTTCCTCTCGAAGATTCGCTCGACGACATTTTCACCGACTGACCAGACGAAGTTAATATCGGTTTCTGGTGTGATGCAACAGTCCGCTCCTTGATTTACTGTAACATCCGCACCAAAGAGCGGCCGCACACACAAACACCATCAAACACCTAATTACTCGATATCTTTGGGGGGGTTGGTTTCCCAAGCGAGGACAACAGGTCACGCATCTATGTTGGAAAGCTTTTTCGGGATCTAACTGACCTGTGTGTTGTCCTTTCATGTGTCCTTTGAATTCACCAGAACAGCCTATTCTGTCAGGCGGGCCTCGACACGCGGGTCTCGTCTCAAGGGTCCGCCAATAACTTGGCGGCGAAACCTCGAGAGGTCCGAAACCAGGCATAATCCCTTTGGTCGTATTTGGCCGCACAAGACGCATTATCAAGAAGGATATTGATAAAATTTGATAAACTATCAATACTTGGTTCATAGCTAAGGTGTTGACACATTTGTTTGGCTCAATGAAGACGCTGCTTGAAAAAAGGTACAAAACATTGGAACTTCAGAAGCTGCTTGAAACCCCTAAGGCGGTTCCCTTGTTGACTGTCTTCTTTGGGGTGACGACTGAGTCGAACGATGCGACGATCGTCGATGATGCAACGAGGGGGTGCCAGCGAGCGATAGGCCCGATAGGCCCCGGTTTGGCCTGTGCTCGTATGCAACAAAAAGAGCCGAGCATGGGGAGCAGTGGGCAAAACTATGAGCTACGTTACTTGTATTTGTTTGATGTGATGTATCAATGCATGTTGGGCTTCCTCAATTCCTGTGGTAGCACGACCAAATCCTGTATGCACGACCCACCCCCCATGTGTTCAGATGTGTTCCATCGGCTCGACCGGATCTTCGTTCTATTTTTCCGCTTGGCCAGGCCTTTGCGGCGGAGGCGACGGATCCCTTCTACTTGAGTCGCGGGGTGGAGCTACAGAGTTTGGATCCTTGGGACGATAGTGCAGGGCCTACAGGGCCTACAGGGTGCGTTTTTTTGTGGGATGGAGCTCCCCTGCACGTGCAGGGGAGCGCGTGAGTGCACGTGAGCGAGCGCCGACATGGTGGACATGGACAGAGAAAATGTCACTTTGGTGGGGTGTTAGGTGACTTGAGTGATGGTACTCAAGAAAGTCCAATCCGCCCTGTCTTTTTGATGGAGTGGGGGGGTGCGTGGTTACGATGGTTGTAATTGTAATTGTAGTGTCTACTCCAAATCGGCTGTGGCAGGACTCTAGGCTACTGGTCCGGAGTATGATGCGAGCATATGCAAGCATGTGAATCACAAAATCTGTGAACAACAATGTCCGGTGTACTTTGCCCACGTGACAAATGAGCAACATGCTTACAAAGCGGAACATTTCATGTTGGTGTTGTGTGTGTTCAGGTTGGTGTTTGCGGGACTGTGTGTCTCAACCAGGTGTAGATGTGGGACTGATCGTTGTTCGTTGCTCGAGCTTTCCTTTAGGACCTTCAACAAGCTATATAGTATAATTTGTGGGATGACAGGATGAAAACACAGCAGCTGGTGGTTGCTGGTTGATTCATGTTCAATGTTCCTGGTATCAACGTGGATCGCCCTATGCCATGCCGGAGTCCGCTCCCATCGAAGGGTTTAGGGTTTAGGGGGCCGAGAGTAAAGGTGAGTTGAATCGTGGCTTGATTATCGAAACTTTGGCGCACTAACCGTGAAACTAAGAGGTGATATGCCCCCCTGCACTATCGCAACTCTCCTAACCACGGCTTAGTTATCGAACGTCTTATATAATTATCGAAGCTTTATAATATAGTTGATTAGGAGAGTTTTGAAGATTTGACCCCCCTGCACCGATCTCTAGCCAATTTCTCGATGCCGCAACATCAAAGATAGGCAGTGGAAATTGGGAAATGGGTTCCAAAATGAGACACAGCAAATCAATGCAATTGCAAAGCAGCAAATCAGCAAGGCCATCGACCGTGTCATGTCTGATTTCATGGGCCATTGGGAGACGAACGGACAACCGCCGTTGCGTCTCGAAACAACCGAGTCTCCGGGCCCCAGGTGCAGGCCAGGTGGCAATCAGTACATACAAACACAGGTGGAGTGGATGCAGCTGCCTTGATGGATGTTCAATTCCTAATGTTTATTCTTTCATGCGCTTTCCTGAGGGATACAAGCCCATACGGTTTCACACACTTGATTGATCCATTGAATAAGGGTTTCTTTTCCGACAGAACCTGCTTTGGGCAACTGCAAGTTGACAATGGTTCACAATAAATTGTTAGATTGAGAGTCTATTGAGAGTATGCAAGTAGCCAAGGATACCGACAGATGGTTTTCATTTGTTGTGGATGTAGCTAAGAAACTGTAGAGCGAATCTCAAAGATTCGCGTGCATAGTCAACAAACAAATGAATTTACAGCGCCCTTCGGATGCTGTCACAGTCACAAGAACTACTTAAGACTCCATTGCCTGCAACCAGAATGACGACCGGAACAGGGGAAGTTTCTTCCAGTCAGCCGTATGTCAGCCGTATGACGACCGAGCATAAGGCACTGTAGGCAAAGCTCAATTGGGGAAGCAGCAAGTAGTGGTTGCACCCCAGGACACTCTCCTTTTGTTGGAGTCAAAACAGCAACCAATCGTGCAAGATCGACGTGCATGTTAACTTGCCAGCAAGATCAAAAGAAGTGAGATCGACGTGCATGACCGCCGCAGAACTTGGCGAATACTATTATAAAAGTTTCATTTGGAGACTGATGCATGGTTTGCATAAAGTCGAAACCCAACTGTCTCATTCCACCAAAGTTGTTGACTGCATGTTAAGAAGACAGGCTGTCCTACTTTGGAGGTCTTGGGCGTTGACTTTCCCGATTCGACAAGCACCGACTTGCGAACAAGGAAATGACCAAGTACGAGATGGTGGATCAGGAGAGGGGCACACGTGTGTCCGGAAGAAAAGAAGAAAACTCAATAGGTTGGTGTTTGTGAATCATTTTGGAACCTTCAAAACTGTACCCTTGGATTCGTAAGTTGACTCCAAGACGAACGGAGTGTACCCCTCTGAGATGCTTCAGACTCATTTGTAGTTTGATAGACATATTACGTATATATATATATAGCACAGCTTGCAGTCGCCATGGCTATGCTCTACGTAGTCATGCTCCGCAGAGCCTTGATAATTGATTCACACATCATCCCTGGCGCCATAGGTGCGTCGCGCCGCCATGTTTTGAAGTCCCAGTGTGGACCTCCCGATACTTTAGACGGGTTACACTCACAAGTCAACTCACCTGGACCCCGGTTACACTCATGGCATCCACCAGCTCCGACGGTGGCATCCTCGGTCCATGATTTTCATCCGGGTCATTGTGGTGAAGTGAGTTCCACATGCGATCAGTGCACTGGTGTTCTCAAATAGTTTGACAAGAGGCCCAAACCTGCTATACCAAACGGTTCGAGAACCTGAACAAAAAGGGGGCTCCAGCTGAAGATCTTTCGAGTGGCTTAGGGTTGGTTCCGCCGGTTCAAACAACTGCTTTGTGGTGTTGAAAAACGATGGCTTTGTCAAATTGACGATGCAAAAACCTTTCACACATGTCCCACACCATCCAGGAGACAGCCAACATCCTTCAGTTGATCATTCAAGAGAGTACCAATCGCCCCTTGGTGGTTAAACCGGTGTTGTGACCGTGACTGACCGGTCGGTGGTGTTGGACCGGTCGGTGACTCAGGGGGGCCTGGGCCTGTGATGTTCGGATCTGCGAGATGGGTGGACCCGGATCGAGCCAGGCAAGCATAGGGGATCACACTCACTATTGGGGAGCCGGTGTCCATCAGTTTGAAAAAACGAGCAAGATGCCATTTGATGCCCAATATCAAGGACATGTATGGATCAATGTGTCCTTTGGCTCAAGGAGGCAGATCGCCTAATCTCCTGGTCCAAAATTAGCGGCCCTGCGTGAGAGGATGATTCAGCGGCCCTGAGTAGATAAGTTGGGTGGTAAACAAATGTTTGCCTAAAGTGTGCGGGGGCTAGTCTACTCTGAACTTACAATAGAAGACCCCCAAGAGGCCAAAGAACCCTTTTGATACCCCACCCTCCTACTCAGGGTCTCCTCTCTCCTTGTGGGTCCTGGTCGTTTTCTGCAAAATCTTTGCTGAGGTACATTGAAGTATGCTGTGACCTCAAAGGTTATAGAACTAGAGGTCATCCCATGCCTAGCACATTCCCACTGTTCGTAACACATACCTTGGCAACACCTACGACATTGATGACATTGAGTGTAAGTGTAAGAGTTTCATCGAAGAACGCTGAACATAGATGAACATAAGATATACAGAGCCGATACAAGTCATTGCAAGCAAGGGGGGCATGGTTCGTTTTTACATGAAAGCTTTAGTTTAAGCAACCTTATAGATCGAATCCATGTGAGCGGGGCAGACAAAGTAAAACAAGATCTACTGTGAACATACTATCATTGTCCTTTGTATCTCCCTCTTACTTTTCGGAGAGTGTCGCGATTGTGTGCGGTTCTGGTGAAATGTCATGTCGTTATGCAGTTATGAGTCGGCACGGGCGCAGCATTGGATGTTAGGAGAATTAAATAAAAGGATAGAGGTGTCCTTAATGTAGACTCTTGATTAATAGCCCCTCCATACGAAGAGTATTTTTCAAGTTCTTTTCAATTCAAAAGGGGGGGTGATTAATCAAGAGTCTACATTACGTTTGTTTTTTCAATTCGTGTTCCAAATGGGGGACCTTGGCCAGGATGACATAGCTCTTTCCTTACTTATTATCAAACCGCTGGCCGTTTTGTTTCCGGGTCCTGGCAATCCCGGGGCATTCACCCAAAACTCGTCTCCCCTTCTCTTCAGCAAACTCCCTCTCCAGAAAATCCACAGAACAAGGCATCAACCAGCTGCAGCAGCAAGAGAGTGAAAATGACGTGAAGGCAGCGAAGTTGGTGGCAGACATTGAGCTCATCGGCAGAACTTGCGGCGAAGGAATTGCACCGGCCCAGTGCGCGTGCGCGTGCGTGGGCCGAGTGAGAGATGCGGGGAACCCGCAGATCGACAGTTCTTTTCCCCGGGTTACCAGACAAAATACCACGAATGATCACCAATCCACGTTCACAAGTTTTCTATATATATATATATGCAACAAAAGCCGTGAGTCAACAAATTTATATGTATATATTGTTTATATTGTTTGCTTCAGGATGAGGATAGTTTAGAAGGGTGAGCAAGAACAGGTCACCTGGTCACGGAGTGGTTAGTGATCATGAGATTTTGGTGTTCTGCTTGGAACTTTGTTGTTTACGGAACCACACGTTTAAGAGAAATCGTGAATCCATGGGCATGCTAAAACTTTTGTTAACACAGTGATTGTCATTTTGGCGGACGACACAAGAGTTGTTCATATTGCATGAGACGTTCATAGCAAAACTGGCCCTTGTCCTTATTGTGAAGCTGCTGTTGGTCTAGCTTTGGGACACACTCAGGTCAAAACCAGCCTTGCTTGAAAATAGACTATATTGAACGACTCGAATGCCTCGACACTCACAAAACTCCCCCCTCTCAGATTTCAATCCCTGTTTTAAGTTTTTAGATACGTTTACCATCGTTTAGCAACGAGAGAAAGAATAAGGGGGAATGACAATAACACAAGCGACGGCTCATCGCTGAAGCCATTGTTTTACGGGGGGCGTTGATACGGTTTGTCCGATTCTTACGCTGCAGAGGTGGCAGGCAAGTTCCGAAACGTACCTTTTTGAAGGGGAACAATCACTGTGGAAGAAACAAACGACCTGAATTGGGCCTGAGTACAGGGCAGCTGGAACAATGACGAACACAATAACAAAACAATAAGAAGTTGAGAAGTCACTGTTTGCCAAACACGCTTTCGGAAGTGAACAAGAAGTCTCATTCGCAGTGTTTCCAAGATGAGTTTAGGCAAAACATTGTGACAGGCAGTCCCTGGTTCCAGGCAGCACGTGATAGAGCACCTAGCAGGGACGAAGTGTTCAACGCTCTTATCACGCACATCCCCGAACCTTGCCACAATGGATTGATGCACAGGTACGTCATTGCCTCATGGAAAACGATATGGTGAAATAGCAAAAAACGATAGCATGAAGAGGATTGAAGGGGTATCATGCTCATTTAGTAGATATATAGGAGGTTTTGCCTTTGGTTCAAGCGTTCCGTGCACACACCTTCTATCTTGGAGTTATTTTTGGCTGTGTTGCCATGAGGAAAACTAATCTAAGCAATCCTTCCTATCCCTTTTCCACTTGAAGGCTGCTCAAGATACTGTACGGTTTTACATCAGGAACGCTGACTACAAGCGAGCAACTTCTTTCCATACTTAAACAGGATTGCACCGGTCGCATGCCGAAGCAAGAAAACCCGGCAAAACCACCGGTGGCGATCGATGCGGGATGATGTATGGGATCGATGCAGGGCCGGAGGGCCTAACTGATGGCCTCTTCACTTGTTCTCCTACCCCGGGAGCCTCCGGGAGCCCAGGTTGGAAAAGCAGCGAACAAGCTTGATCACGACTCAGGCGTGCGTTCAAGAACGTGACGTTCTTTGATTTCGACGTGGTCCGTTCGGCTGCAGCCGTTCTTGGTTGCTTTTCGACTGCCGGGATGTTGTTCTATACTTCAGAAGTGCAGGGCTTCAGTCCGCAGGTGGACGCGAAAAGTACACGATATTCTTGTCGGATCTGGTCGGTTGTTCGATATATGAAAAGAATTCAGATTTCATGAAGCGATTTGAGATGATTTGATCCTCCAAATTTGACCATTTCGTTTCAATCGGATTCGGTGGCCAGGCGTCGCCCGGTCTCTGCGCACGGTCCGGCGACATCCCGAAAAAGCATGCGGTTTGAAGACTTCCTTTCATCCTGAGATGAACACGGATGGGACAAGTTTCAGTACGGGAATGCGGGGGTGCGCCAACGCATTGCATATACTTACACATGCGTCCGAGCTGAGCTTGCGCGCTTGGATTCCATGCGCGCACAAAAAAAACAGCGGTGGCAGGCGGCCAATGAGAAGTTGCAGGCGTCCCTTCAAGGACAAGCTGCAGGTACCGAGCTCGTTGGGGCGCTCAGCTGACTCGAACTCACTGCGGACTCGACAACCTCACGTTGTCTGGACAGGCGGAACGATGTTTTATCATCCTGGGTTTACCCCACAAAATGCATTTTGGAAAGTGGATCAGAGTGTTTATTTGAAAGGCCGCCTGGAATGAACAGAAGAAACAAGGTTGCTGCAGACCCTTTTTCAAGGGGGGTTAGACCTTAGACCTTCCTCCATCTAAAGAACCTGCCCGAAAACATCATAAACCAGCTAGACACGTGCGTTCCCATACCACTCCCATACTTCACCGAAAAACCGAGAGCGCAGTGGGGCTGAGGTGGAGAGTGCGGTGGCCTTCATTGACGGCCTCAACGAGACCATCAGCGAGGTCACTGACCGTACTTCGCTCTATAGGCCCGGCCCAGCGCTGGCGCCGGTGCGGCGGGCGGAGAGCACGGCCCGTGACACTCGGAGTGGCACTCTTTTCGTGGCGGTGGGTGGTTGTATGTTGGAGTCGGTGCCAGGTGGCAGAGTTGGAGCAAAACTGGTTTTGTTCGGATGATGTGCTTAGGCCTAGGCAATTTGTTGTCTAGCCCAAGCAGGGCCTTTTTGCAGTTGAAGCGCATCAGGACAAGAAGATTCTGGTGAATAAAGCATAGATGTTGGAGGAGCTGCCACGCCCTGCAAACTGTTTGGCAACTTATTCGAGGAAAAATGGTCATCCACTTGATGTTTGGTGATAAACCACTGAAGGGTGCCAAAATTAGTATCCTTCAGTGGCCCAAGTTCAGCTTGCTGGAGAGTATCAACAGCCAGGCAGAGACAGACCAGCTGTCTTTGGCACTCATGGTTCTCCCCATTCGCCACAGACCAGCTCGCTGTCGCCACTGTGGGCTCGGTTCGCAGGTTGCAAGAATCGATTTGCCCCCCTTGCAAAGAGACACACTTGGTGTAGCCCCGTGTGGAGGACGTTCTAGAAGCCGATCTGTTCAATGATGTTTGTTGAACAAAAGAGTAATAACCATCCTTTTGTGAAGCCTAGGTCTAGACTGCCCTGGCAAGGTGTTTCCTGAATTGCATTCCGTAGCCACTCGCCTTCAATTCTGCTTCAGATCCTTGCGGCGCCGCCGTTTCAGGGGCGGCCAAGGGCGAGACGACGTCACGTGCGAGCGGCACGGAGATCTTCCGTGCTCGTTCCACTTGGAACGGATCCGTGAGAAGGATCGGACGACACAGTTGGAAGATCACAGTGATGTTCCATCCTTTGCCATCCTTTCCTTGGTGGCCCTTGCCTTTTGACGATTTGAAGAGGAGACTTTTTCAGGTACCGCAGGGGCAAGGTGCTGTTGCCCAAGTGAAGCCCCCTTCTCGAAGGTAGAGGTCAATTCATATCAATGACATGTCCATATGGTCGGAACGAAGTGACCCACCAATAGGATCCAATAGGCGGCTGTACAACAGATCCTGGCTGCATACTTATCATACTAAAGCCAGAAGCAGTGTCCCACATGTTCCAAGCTGGAAGCCGGTTGGGTGCGTTGGACTCCGCGTCCAGGCTGCATCAGTTGTTGGACTCTCGGAACATCGACACCAGTAACTTGGCCACTGGCCAGGCGCGAAAACGCCGCACCGAGCACCGAGCACCCACGGGTTCCACGAGGGCGTTCCGCGATGCGGACGCTCCGCGCCATGCCTCTTCACAGCTCTTGACTCCAAGATATTGATCCCAAAATTGATAGAACAGGAGCATGTCTTGGAAGCTATTTAAACATCGTTCAACCACTTGGTTTGGTGGTGCACTATGGTGGCTCCAGACTCTGTACTATCATCCTTTCTTCTTAGAGACCCGGTGACCAACAACACGACCTTTTAAGTTCACATCGCTATAGACAAGATATATCATAGATCAACTGCTTGCTTGGGTGTTCGGCTGCCACAGAGAGCTGGGCAGGTCAAGCTAGCCCTAAAACCCGAAAAATACCTTTGATCTTCCTTCCATTGGCACCAAGTTGATGCTCGTATGAAGGTGCTTGAGATGTCAACTTGTTGCAAGCACCCTTGAGTCACATGGAGCACACGAGCCGGCCTATGAGCTCGGCCCTTTCGAGCTCGGCCCTTTCGGTGGGCCGAGCCGCTTCCGGGTGCGTTCGCAGAACGGATGTGCACAGGCGCAGCTCTTCCTGACGCCCTCCAACCTCAATCTGCAACTTCGCATGGCGCACCTTGCACCGCGCTTTTAGCAAGCACAGAAGCGTCCGCGTGTGCTTCTGTGCTTCTGTAGGTGGTGATGCCGTCTTCAGTCAAACTGGGGGTACCAGTAGGTGGAGAAGGGGTTTTTCAGTGGAGGTGAGAGCGGTGAAAAGGTTGAGGGGGCTTGATCCAAGATGATCTACGAGGAACCCACCTCCCTGTTGAAAAGAAGAATGACAAGCACACACTGTGCCTTTACAAGCAGAGTCCCCTGGCTCCTGCCCACCAGAAGTGGCAGCGCTCGCGTCTTCACAGAAAAAACCTACTTGGAAACGAATCGGCCCAGTATACACCAGTCGATGAAGAAAGCCCCATAGTCTAGTCGATATGAAAAAACATGGTAAAAGATCACCTACTAGAGCCTTTTCAGGGAGTGGCTATCACATGCACATATGATGCCCTTATGTTCTCATGCTCTCCTGGACTGCGATGGCGCAGAATACACTTGCTCTTGTAAAGGCATGTTAGGTCGGTCCAGGGGCCTCTCCAGTCCGTCCGACGTGTCATTCTTTCAAAAAGAACCTCCAGTCCCACCTCCCAACACCCGGGCTGTTGCTCGGTCGATGTACTCGTCTAAGGAACAACGAGCTTTGAGGCAAGGGAGCGAGATGCGAGATGAGCGAGCGGCGTGGCCACCGGGGTGAGACCAGGAGCCCCGATCGTAGCTTCTTGTTACTAGTAGCAAGAATGCTACTAGTAGCGATGCCAGGAGCTCCTAGTAGCGTCCTTGCTAGTAGTAAGGCCAGGAGCCCCAATCGTAGCTTCTTGTTACGAAACCTGGAGTGCTCAGTTGATCATCCAAGGTCTCTATGTCACGTCTACATGTCATGTCTACTCATGATGATCCACTTCTCGTCTCGTTGATTAGAGAAGTGGAGATATTGAACACCAAATTGAGATAGATTTCGGTGTCCTAGAGGAGAGCCTCGCACTCCAAACATGGGCCAGCTGTGCTCCACTGCTTGTGAAGCATGACAAACTCTTTTGTTTTGGTTGCAGGAGAGTCAGTAGACAAAGCATAAGCAGCATTGCAGCATGACATAGCACTTAGTGCGGGTTTAGGAAGACTTGTCCATCGACAGTAAGACTTTGACCTGCTGACCGAATCCAAAAGTGGACCTAACAGATGAACATGCCTTGACAGATGTTCCTTTTGCCCTTAGGCCGTTCCAAAGCATCCTTTTTGTGTTTTGTGTGCTGTGCAACTGAAAGCTGTATTTTTTCTCGTAGACCCCCGATCGCCCCAATGGGGAGAGTCTCAAAGACTCTATGTCCCTTCACAATCTTCAGGAGGTGTTCTTTATTTGTTATACACCTAATAATATCGACTGCGACAAAGTATCAAGAACCATGGCATCCATCTCTCAACGACTGTTCTTCCCCAAAAAATCGCATCAAGCTCAATCCCAAAACCAAAGCGGATTCACAAAGACGCGGCGTCTCCGCACCAAACCGACACAAACGCGGGCGATCCAGGCGTCGCGCGTGAGCCCGACTGCGGCACCGTCTGCGGAGCTAAGTCTCGCAGAGTGGGAGAGTTGGCGAGTCAAATGGGGGAGAAGAAATTTCAATTGAAAATTCAAGTGAAAATTTCCACTCATCTCCAATTGAAAACTCCCAAGATGAATGGAAGTGAGTTTGTGAAATTTCAATTTCACCATTTCACCCCTGAACTTGGCAAGTCCAAGCTCCATCGACAACCGTTGTCCATTCACAAATCTCGCAGGTTAGCATGTGCCAGGATTTGTGCTTGTTGGCTCACTTGCGCCATGCGTTTGGCTCCTGGCTGCTTGTTGATGCATGTTGTCAACAGAGGTGAGGAGAGCTGTTTGTCCACCAGCTCGCAGCGATGCTCTGTACATCGGTGATGGTTTGTACATCGTTGCTTCATGTTGTTTCTAGCGACAGAAGGGGACCCTAGGTGGAACTGAAGGCACCACCACCACCCACATTGCAATTATACACTAAAGGGCATCTCCAACGCGCAACCTTTTTTGTGAAAGGGCTGAAAAGGGGACGAGACTCACCCCCTTTAGAGACTCACTTGTGTAGAAGACCTTGGAAGCTCGTGTCACTGGCAGTGCCCGGGAAGTCTATGCGAATTGACACGGAATCCCCATGTCACCACTGGTCTTGTAGAGCATTTTTCCAACCCCAACCCTTCTCCGAGATCTTCAGACCTCTATTTTCACTTCAGCTGAAAGTTGGTGGGAAGTAGCAATCATCTTTCCAGATGTCCTGGGCGACCTGTCTATGCCAGATTGAGAGCCTCCAGAAAGCCGAATGAGCCTTGTACAGACATGTTGGAAGGAAGGCGTGCTTGGTTCAATCACTTCGTCGCTTGGTGCTTCGTTTGGGGCCCTCTACTGGTTGTTTTGAACAGAATTCACATCTGTTTAATTCACAGCTCAAGTGTTTGTGTTCTGAAAGAGGTCTAGCAAACCAACGGAATCTAGTCACACATCCAGTCCAATCATATTTGCTTTGATGATCAACCTCCCGAGAAGTTGACCCGACACAACTGTTGGACCCCTCTGTGTTCCCAAAATGAGAAGCCACAACGGCTTTTTCGAGCAAGGGCCTCAAGGGTGTCACTGCTTCATACCAATCCCAAGTAGCTCATTGTCTTGCTTCTTCCCATAACTCAGGCAACACGTCGGGCCGACGTGTTGGTGGCGAAAATAAGGACACAGCAAACTCACCGGTATGTATATATCTTTCTTGGTCTATTGTACTTGTAAGAAATGCAAATTCTCTTTGCATTCATATGGATGTGTGATGATATGTGTATACATTTATATATATGAATACGAAATCAGACCCTGGCTCACTAAGCATCGACCTGACAAACATGAATGGCCACGCTTTGCACGTTCCGCCTCTGACCGCTGCTGGCAGTTCTTGTCAGAGGTGCAATGGTTTCAACCCGAAACCGGGCAGATTTTATCTCCTAAGGAGATATTAATTGGACATAAATATATTAAAAAACAATAGTTTTAAGCTTGTACTAAATAACGGACTAATGTACAGGAAGGAGGAGGAGGAAGAGAAAGGAAGGAAACATTACATTAGGCAAAATTTAGGTCGTTTTTATTTCACGAAAGGTCGCCCTCAGGAGATAATTTGAATCTATTTTGCGAAAAAAAATGATTCGTCCGAATCTAAAAATTTAATCCTCCCTTGGCTAAAAGGATCTTTTTTGGAATTATATTATATAAATAATGAAATAATAAAACATAAATTTATATTCGACAAAAATTATATTGTAATTTATAAATTTATGCTTATTTATATGATTGAATATAATTATTTTTTGTAATATGATACGGAGATTTTCCGGTTTATTATATATTTTTTTAGCGTTATGTTTGTTCGAAAGCGCTATTTTTAGATTAAGAGCTACGGTCGCTTTGGGGCGAGGTATTATGGATAGTATGGTTTAGTTTTAGTGATGATGCATTGGCCTTTTCTTTTTTTGGTTGCCGCCATTTTTCTATTGACGACCGAATTGGATTTTTCGGTCCTAATTCCGGGGGATATGAGAGTTGATGCTAAATCATTTTAATTGGTCTTTATGTCCGGCGTGACGATTGTTTAGAGTTCTTTAGCTCTGAGCGAAAGTGGAGGCTATTTAGTGGGTGCACCTCTTTTTTCCACGAAGTTTTATGAGATATGGGCTTTTGGTGGTTATGGCTAAATTTCTGCCTGCCCGCGTATCTTGCGTATTATGCGCGTATATAGACGAACATGTTATAGGGCCTTGTGCCATGGCATGATTGAATACCGAGGGAAGTGATTCTTCCCGACAGATATCTTATGGAGGTTCCGTGAATCTTACCGAAAGCTACCTATTGCACGGAAGGAGCTGACGTTAGTTCCTACTGTATTTGGTATACGCTGCGTGATTTGGAATGTTTCGAAAGCATTGATTTATGATGAGTTATTGATTTGGACTTCTTCTACATCGCTTGAAGTGATGGGCATATAAGAGACGGGATGGTACTTTTCGACTATATGGAGTATTTCTAAATGGTATTGTATTTATTCGGCTTGTAAATAAGCATCCGTTTTATTGATGGTACGTATCTACTTGGTTCTAGCAGATCGATTGGCCACTGCTATTTTGATCGAAGGACGCCTATTGTATGTGCGGGTTTTTCTTAAGGGAATAATTGGTTTTCTTATTGTTTATTAATACGTTTGGAATTTATGTAATGGCTTTTAACCCCTCTTTTAAAAACGACAAAAGTTGTGGTATATTTTTTAAGCCTGTTTGAACCATATTCCTAAGGCATATTATTTAATTATTTTTGGAGATTTTAATACGGTTCTTCGTGCTGATCCACCGTTCGTAGGATTAGAAGACCCTAGAAGACATTTCAATGTACGCACCTTGCAGGAGTTACTGAGAATTTAGGATCTGATTGCTATTAACTGCAAAGGGGGTTATTAACATACCTTTTCTCATGGTATTTATGCCTCCCGCATTGATTACATTCTGATTCGATAACAGCAGGTTCAATATCGCCGCATGAAGCCGATCACGAACACTTAATTCGAAAGGAATTTTGGTATTAGTGGACCTCATCATCATCCCTTGCTGGTGACCCTTCCGAAGTGGCATGCCCCTCAACCGACTCACTTTCCGTTGAATAGGATTGATAGATTTGCTATGCGATATGCTTACCATGCATAGTTGAACTAGTGGATTTGTTTCGAGGATCGTACACGCCAATTGATCGATGATATGACTTCAATCCCTGACCGCACTGCTTAGGATTGTATGCTTGATTTGGAAACCCAATTTCGTGCATTGTGCATTTAATTTTTCTCCAAACGACGTTCTCCTCGTTCCGTTCCCTTTCAACTTCTGTCCATTTCTTCCGGATGTGGAATGCACGTGGAGAGGCCCTTCGCATCCAAGGCAAATCGTTGGGATCTTTGTTCCGATGTTGGAAACATGTCACGACCTATTTGGGATATCACAAGCAGATCAGGCAATTTAGTCGTGCCAACAGACGTTAGAAGCTTGAAATCATTCTGGCGGAAGGGGCTGACCTGGCCCTGCATGGCCAAACGTTTGAATGGTATCGCAAGATTCGACAGCTCTGTCCTAAGCAAAGGCTTCGTCGTATTCAGATGTATGATTAATATGGCATGCCTCTGTCTCCCACCCAGGAGATATAACAGATTGAACAATACTATACTACCTTGTACTTAGATGATCACCAACCACAGTTTAACACCGATCCTATCACCGTCGCCCCATTCGATTGCCAGGCCTTGATTGATGCCCTGAGAGCACTGCCCGGTATAAAGGCACTTGCACCAGACGGCATACCTGCTCTGGTGTGGAAGCACTTTGCCAAAGACCTTGCCGTGCCCATCATGAACACGTTTGTTGAATGTTAGATGGGTTCTCGAATACAACCACCAGCACATTGGACAACGGGGTGGATCTTTCTTCTTCCCAAACCCAATAAAACCCCGTCCAAACCTCAGGCACTAAGACCCATATGTCTCCAGCACCCAGTTAATAAGGTCTTTGCTGGCATACAATGTCGCCTCATCTTGTCTCAGGCCTATCCTATTTTAAGGCAACTGCCGTTGTACGCCTACCTACCTTCCCGGGGGACTCGTGACTGCCTGCTCATTGTGGCCTCCCATTGCAGACAAGTTCGCGACACATGTAGCCATTTTCGTTCGAGTCCCAATGCACCGGGCATGCAGGGAGGTTTACAGATCTCCTTAGACATGGAAAAGGCCTTTGACACTGTAACCAGATCTTTGGTCCTTCAAGCACTCGATCAATACCAGTTCGATGTTGATGCTCTACGATTGATCCATTCATGGTTGGCCCCCCACAAATATTGCATTCCTTTCAAGCAATTGATTGGACACGTCATTGCATGCCGGGGCATTAAACAAGGATCTAAAGACGCCCCATTGCTTTGGACCCTTGCGATGAGTGCCATCCTCCTAGACCTCAAAGCTAGGTATTCGCTTGCATGGCTCCGCGACCATGTGGTTGTTTATGCGGACGATGTTCACCTCCGTTGGATCCTCACGTCCACCCCCCATGCACTGGAGGCCTTAACTGAGCTTCAACATGTCCTGGATACTTTTAGTGCTTTTGGACTCAAGATTAACATGCAAAAGAGCTTTGCCATACTCCGCTTGGTTGGTCGCGAAGCCCCTGGCTTCCTACGACGCTAGGTTCATCGAAAACCGGATGGCCCAGAGCTGATCTTACCGGAGAAACTCTGGCGCCTGCCTCTCGTGTCCAAAACAGCCTATCTTGGTGTGTTTTTGAGTTATAGAGCCTTCGACTTCGATTCCCCCATGAGAAGGATAACAGCAGCTAAGTGGTGCTTCACACAACTTAGGTCTTGGCTTACTAGCACGGTTCACCCACTCGCGACCCGATTAAAGCTGTATCGCCAATGTGTCATGGCCACTGTCAGCTATGGAATCCATGAAATGGGGATCATCCGTCGAGGTCTTGCCAGACTTGTCAGCATGGTCAATACACATCATAGGATTATGATTAAGTGCCCTGT